GGCCGCGGGCCGGGCGTGGCCCGCCCGAGTCGGGACCCAATCGCCAGAATCTTGACACTTCTCTGCCACGGGCTCTGCTTTAGCTGAGAGAAGGGCCGACCCACTCGAATCTTTGCCCAAGTTTGGATCGTCTAGATAAGGAAGTGGATAACAAAAACATCACACACAATGTGCGTGTGCGCGCGTGTGTAAAGCTTTACATTGTTTCATGGCAAGATGATTTCGTCGACGGCAATCCAAACCAGCGAGCAAGCAAACCGAAACTCTGAAAGCCTTTCTTTTAGATTTCTTTTCTTCTTCTTTTTTTTTCCAGGCTAGCTAGTTTTGTGTCCGAGGCTGGATTGGTTTTGTCTTGGACTCATTTTAGACAGCACTTCCTGGTTTGAGGCCTGAAGTGAAATTTAACAAGTTCAACGGGGAAACACTGTTCTAGGGCTATCCTCAGCTTGTGTGTGGTTGCCGCCGGTTCATCAGACCTGACAGAGAAAACTGTTACGCTGCGGTGGCACTGTCCTTTTGGGAACGGAGGGTCACCCCTCTGCGCTGTGTTGTGTTTTAGACAGTTGAAGACAGACCAGAATATAAAGTTTTCTGGTGCTTTATGGAACGTGGCAGAACTGAATTCTTGCACCTCACCCTCCTCTTTTTAAGGGATTCTGACTTCTCTTTCCTCAAGAAGGGAGAGGCCAGCAGTATACTTAATAGGGATGAAGGATATGAATGTATTTCCTTGCAACGGCTCTGCTATCTGTCTTATTTCCAGTAAATGGGCAGGGATGTACTCAACAAAATGAAACTTGGAAATAGGGACTATGGTTATTCCTTCAGGAAACGTTAATTGATGGTATCAAGTACACTTAGGGTAGGGAAAAGTTTGTCCTGTCTGCACAAAAGGAAAAGAAGATTAAGACCCCAACCACGACAATCATTTAAGCAGGCAAAAACCAGAGAGGAGAGGGGACAGGCAGAAATCTCTCTGGAATAACAACCATTTCTGTAAGAGGGAGTTTAGTGTTCCACGAACTTTGCTGATTATAGGAAGGGCTTAAGTAGACTGGATGGATGGTGAGCCTCGAACAGAAGGAGTCCTATGGAAAATTCAGGAGATAAATCCACTCACCTGAATTTATCTGAAGTCTAGGGTCCGTGTTCAAGAGTAGTCCATCCATTCATCAACCTGTTATTTCCTGGACGGCTTCACTGAAAATACCAGGGCCCCTCTGCTGTCTACTCTCAACCAAGTTTGCTCTCTTCCCAAATGTTTGTTTCCTGAGGGGACAAAAAGAAAGGAAAGAAGGAATACATGAAAGGAGGAGGAAGGGAGGGAAGGAAGGACTTGCAACTAAGCAGAGTTGAACGCTTTCGGAGCTTTCTTTTCTATTGATGTAACTTACCTTAGTAGGAATTTATGATTCTGACTATTGAATAATCCAAAAGAAGGGCTTCTGTGCTGGAAAACTTGTGTTAGCCGGTGGAAGGGTATGCTTAGGGCACAGGCTTTTGCTGTGCTTTTAGGTTACATGAGTTCGTGTATTGACGGTGGACAAAGGTGGGGAATGGAAGCAGAAATGGAGATGAAGAGCCGAGGAACAACGAAAGAAGAGACGTGATAATGAAGTGGTTTTTCACTTCACTTCTGCTGCTGCTGGTTGCCATCCATCAAGTCCAGTCTGATTCATGGTACCACTGCTACCAAACAAGAAACTGAGTCAAACAATGAGATCCCATTGTCCTGTTGATATTAGATCACCTTTAGGCCTTGTCCTATAGAATGATATTTCCTGCTTCTTGTCTCTGGACCAAGGAGGACTGTGATCATAGGTCTTTATTGTACATTTACTAAGGAGTGCTCTTGAGATCAACGCCTGTTGATAAAAAGGAAGAGATTGAGCAAAGAGAGAATTCTGACCTGGAACACTAAGCCTCTGGCAATCCTGCCAAGAGTTCTGAAGTGAGATGACCCTTCAACGTTGCCCTAGGTGGATAGCAATGAGGATAGAGGATTGAATTCCATATACTTCCATCAGTCATTAGATGTGGCTGGGGCAATGGGGCACTAAAGGGACCTGGCTCTAGAGGAGGTAGCTCTCTTAAGTGCAATCAGCAAAGAGGACTGATAAGAATTGCCTGCTGGCCCAACCCCGCCACGAACTGAGGTGAAGTATCTTTTATTCTTGAGAAGGAATTGAGTGGTTCATCACTTCCACTAATCTCCTCAATGCTATATAACATCATAAAAGTTTGCAAATAGAATGGAGAAAGGAATATTGCAAACCCGTGCTGTCAAATTGCTATATAACAGAACATTAGGTTTGAAAATATTGCTCATGTAATTAGATTTCTCTCCCTTTTACAATGAAAGGCTTGCTTTTGAAAGGAGTCACTGAAGAATAATTTGTTTACCAGAGCTGCTATGCTACTAATTCTACTATCTGGATACACAGAAGCAACTGTACAACTGTGGATTGCTAACAATAGTTGGCAATAAAGGGAAAATAAAATTTGTATTTCCTAGAAAACAAAGGAAAATACTGTTGCTATATGTACAGAGGCAGGCAAAAGGAAATGAAATATTTCTTGTCTTAGAAATTAAATTATATGCCCTCATCCCCAAATATATGTTGTTGAAAATCAAGGATATTAATTACTCTGAGGAGTAAGATGCACCTGACCCAACCCATGGTATTTTCAACAGTCTCGTCTGCATGTGAAAGTTGGGCACTGAATAAGGGAACCCAAAGAAGAACTATGCATTTGAACTACTGGGCTAGTGAAAAATACTGAAAGTACCAGGGATCACCAACAAACAAACAAATCTGTCTTGGAAGAAGTACAATCAGAATGCTCCTTAGAGGTAGTACTTTAGACATGTTGAT